CGCCAAGTGTTCTGTTAATCAACCTTGTGTTCCCAGATGAAGTCGGCATTTCTAGAAATTATGYCTGCCTCAGGAGGGCGAATGCACGACCGAAAGGTATTGTGGGCATTAATTCTTGAAATGCAATATTCACCGGTTAAAGGGCTACTTGGACGAAAATTGCGAAAACATTAGAAAAGACTTGGAAATCAAATAGACCTATCCATATGGGTCTAACAATCATGAAGCAACAGATTTCAGGAAGATATTGATACAATCCTTAATAATTTGGGCAAAACATGTTGGAGTAAATGGCGTCATTTACTCTATCCTTTTGTTCTTCCATCTTTTGAATCAAAATTTCTCTGATGTGGGATAATTCCAAAACAAATATCTTACCGCAATTGTTTTTAATAGATATAAATTAGTCATATATTTGAATTGCATGAAGTTTTGAAATAAGGGCATCAGCGCGCATTAGTAGTTTTAGACGATGAGTGAATATTACTTATCAAAAGCTGAATTCTGCTGCAAACTTCAGTCGTAAATCCAACGTTTTCTCTGACATATTTTTGAAATAGTTATCTATCAGTGGGCATTAATGATTTTCAGACTACGAGAGAATATTATACTTATCAAAAGAAAAATTCTCCTGCAAACTTCAGTCGTAAATCCAATGCTCTCTCTGATGTATTTTTGAAATATAACTGAAGACTTGATTTAATAAAATGGGTTGAGCCTCTTCACTTAGAGTTTAGAACGAATAGRCCTTGTGTATCTTTATCAAATTTAATTATCAATTCTCCTTTGGAGAACAGCTAATGGACATCGCTTAAATGGATGTGTCAAGCAAGCACGCCTGAGAGTTTACTAAGTCAATAACATGAAAAAGTTTAAACGCGCCTTGATTAATTGAAAGGGTTTTAACATTCGCTAGAACAGTGTCGCAGGGAATGCAAATAGTTATAAATACTCCAGTTTCGAATTCTCTATCGTGCAAGCTTAGCTTCTTCAAGCTTGAATTTTTATTGTCTTCTTTGTATTCAGAGTGTTTGCATTAGAATAGGATCTCTTCTGAATAAAAGAATATATAACATKATTTCGAGGTTAGCGCTGCACAAATAAGATCTCAAAACTGTAGATTATTTGCAAGGACTTTTCCATGTTTTCATTTTTACAACAGTTTTAATGAACAATTCATGATTCTTTGGAGAAAAGCTACACATGTCTTGAATTTCTTTAACGTTCATTTATGCTAAATCATTATAACCAATATGTGAAAATCGTTCAAAGGATTTCGAAAGCTACTTCAGTGTTATTAACGGAATTATGACTATAATGGCCCCGGGTAAGAGGAACTGCTTAGTGATCTTGTCGTACTTGTGTCTGTTGGAGGCCTTGGAACAAATGTTGATAACGATAATCTTCTGCGCATGACCTGATTGCTTTTGCTTATTGGGTCATACGTGACATTCTGTTGAGACTGTCTTGGGTAAACAATTGATGTGGAGTAACGTCGCGACCTGGCACTAGCCCCCACGGGATATTTTACACCGTTGCTTGGTCGGCTAGTAAAAAGGGGTTTTTCATCGTAAACAAGTCCAATTTTTTTTGTTCCACTCAAAAGTGATTTTTCCTTCACCTCGCTATTAGCATTGCTGGTGCTCATATCTTCGGTGAAAACATCCTCTTCTTCTTGCAAATTAATATTTCGTAATTTTCTGTGAATTATGTCTGTAGTTTGCATCATATTGTCTATATTATCCACACTGATTTGCTCCTTCTTAGTTTTAGGCATTGTTTGCCGCCTTACAACAGCCTTAGCCCGACTGCCTTGTGCCTCGCTTTTGGCGAAAACATCTAACATCCCTTCTGTCGCAGTTTTTGCGCGAACTCTTGTTGTTTGATGCTGTTTTGATAAGTCGGTGTTGATATTATGTAATGTTTTGTTTGCTATTCCCACGCCTTTTGTCTTGCTGTCTAAGCTTATTTCAACTTCGTCGATGTCTGTGTTTTTAAATGCTTGATATCCAGGACCTCCTGACCAAGCAGAAGGCACGCTAGCTTTTCGTCGAGGACTCTGCATCTTTTCTTTACTCATTATTTCCATGAGCCATCTCGTTTCACTTTCATAAGGCGAAGCTATTTCCAAGTTACGTTGAAAGTCCTTGATCATTTCGACGTCTTTGTCAATACTTTTCATTTTTCCTTGCATTTCTGTTTCAAATGTTTGAAGTTTTTTCGCTAGTTTGTCCTTTTCAAAGATGTTTCGTTGCATAACGCGAATGCCGAGATGTGTTTTTTCATGTAAACTTGTCTTTCTTTTGGAAGCTAAACGGTTTTGTCCTGAAAACTTTGAATCCATGATGCTTAATATGACTTTGTTTTGACCTCCAATTCACAACCAACGGCTATTAAACGTGCCTTAACATTTTTATAAAACTAGTTTTTGCAACTTCTGTACTCTAAACCTCCAGTTTAATCCTGCCCATTACGTCGACTTAAGTGATTGTGTACGCAAATATGTACAATTTGTTCCTTTGTCGAAGCTAACTCAACCCAAGAAAGCTTTAGTTCATTAACACATCGCTACAAACTTAACACACCAGCACCTGCGATTCGTGTACGATTTTGTACAATTCATGATTGTTTTAGTGGATTATTATATAGTTTTATCAATTCCGGCAATTTGATTGGCTTAGAGGAGATGTATTAACCGTTATTCGTGTGGTTATTGAAATCACTATGGTAACCATCCTCAGTTTATCGAGAAAATTCTGTAAATAGCTCAATTTTTTCCATCTATTGCACGAATAATAGCATAAGAATATTGACAATTTTCCCAATTTGTATCCTAAAAGATTTGAGATATTTCTTGTGGTTAGGGTACCTATACGAGAACTTAACGATTAGTAAAGGCACTAGCCTATATGATCTATGCAACATTTTGTTCACTATTCGCTGCGAAGTCAGTTCTAGATTCTTTTTTTCTTTCAAGACGACAATTAAACAAAATGTTGTTTACAATTGTTCAATATAACATCACAATGTCTCTTAAATATGCCTGCTTTGGTCTACAATCTAAAGCGTTTAGCGGTTTATTGTGAAGTGTTCTACATTCGTTGGATAACACAATTAAAAAACGTTGTTTACAAGTTTTGAAGAAAGCATTCAGGTTTTTTTTCACAGTAATTAATAATTTACTGTAATGAGCCGTTCTAGGACCAACTAAGGCTTAATGGATTGCACCGCACAATAGTATTAGTGTAACCCTCTGTCTTGAGGAATTAAGCATTGAAAAGCTATACAAAGGCTAATCTTGTTAAACGAGGCCTATATGTCATTATTACTATCTATCCAAACGCAAACACTGATTTTATCGACTAAGAGCTATGGCTAATCGACGGGGTGCATGCAGTCTTTGAATTAAATTAAATATTTTCATTTGTAGATCTCATCCCTTCTTGACAGGTACGAAAATCATAAGTAATTTCCCTGAAACAATTATTGGCTGAGGTTTTTGTATAATCCGAAATAATCAAGGTCAAGGCAAGAAAACGTACCCTGCCAACCAATCAGATTTTAGATTAGTTAATGCAAYGTATAGTGATCTTTAATATCAGTTACAATGGATTGACATTGATATTCCGTTTATTTGTGCAAGGATACCTATGTACCAGATTTTGTCAAAGATGTGGTATTTATTGCAGAATTATTTTCGGTCAAGTTTTGATACAAGAAAAGTCTGGAATCATTTAATCAAAAGTAACGCCAAAAAGGAATAGACAATTTATTTTGAACACATCAGCATATACATCATATAATAAATAAAAACATGTAGTTTTGACACTAGCTTTAAGTTAAAAGCGATTGTTATTCAATTCAAATATTGTCCTCCCACGTTAGTTTCATATAATTTTGCGACTAAAATTTTAAACAATATTTACAATAATTTCATTAGCATTTTGTATGTTCTATTTTTGCTATTTTTGAATTAATTGGCATGACGGAATCACCACGACTGAAAATAAACTTTACTTATTATATATCAAGTGTCAAAGTTCACTTTTCCTAGTATCTCATTGGTCGAGAGTGTACCACCTGAAAGTCACAAAATTTTACTTTTCCCGGCAACTGTCCACCAGCGGTCAATAATATGTTGTGGACCGTCAATAAGTACGAAGTCGCAGAAAAACAATCTTCAGTGTCGTGAAAATGTCACATTTACGGACGTTGCATTCCTAAATTGTTTTGAAACATTAAATTTCGTCTACAAATAGTTATTGAATTCATTGTGTTATTACATTGATTGATTTTAGTGACATTTGACTATTTGTATTGCCATTTTTCAGTCATTTTATCAAAATCTTTAATAAAAACACTTCATTTATTTACGTTTTTTGCTCTCTTTGACACTTGATATGATAATAAAGCACTTTATTTACTGGAAACCTCGGGAAGTAGTATGTTTTGCGGTATCGGGACCACAAAACATACTGTTTCCCTCGGTTCCAGTAAATAAGTGTTAATTGTCTTTTTTTTTAAAGAAAAACATGCTTTTGGTTTTTGTGTGTGTTTTGTTTACTAGCGAAAAAATAACGTGCTGTTCTTTTAACTAAAGAAAATATAAATACCTCAGAACCTTTTTAAAAAGTAGTGCAGGTAAAATCCCAATTTATTCTAAAACTAAATTTACTTTCATTTACACCCGTGGGAGATCTTTCAGCACTCAAAGATAAAATCCATGTCTTTTTACGCCCATGTAATRTTATCTATACTGAGCAATTTCCTATCATCGAGCGTACTTCGTATGTTGATTTTCCAAAAAAAGCGCAATCAATCTTTAATTATCCCCTCACAATTAGTGAGGTTTTCCATTGTTTGATACGTCGATTATTTTTAGACATATTTATATTTGTTTTCATGGCTTAAGTACCTATAGAAATATCTTCAATAGATGRCGTCATTGGTGACGTCAGAGCTGACAATCGTTACATGTGAACTGCAAATGAACTCAGGAAGAGCACAATTTATTTTGATTCGAGTRATATAGCACTCGATMRATTTTGATTTGAGCAAAAAAGTATTACGAATTGACGGATTGCTGAATGGATTTAAAATCGCGAAGAAGTTTCGAATTCAATAAGAGAGTAAGGGATTTGGTCTCMAAGGACAGGACGCAACTCAAGGAAAAATACGACAAGATTGATAAACAGCGAGCAGAGCGKTTGTCAGAGATTCATCACATGCAAGAAAGAGTGCGGTTTTCGATGAGAAACCTCGCGAAGGACAAGCTTCAACTCAAGAAAAAGGAAACTGCTTTTCATATAAACAAAGAAACGACGCCAGGTGAACCTCGCAAGGAATTTCAAACTGGATACTACACTAACGAACACAGTGATTTGTTTGAGAAAGACGTTTCAGAAGATTCTCTTCAGAAGCATCACGTCCGGTCTTCTCAAACCAGAAAAAATCTGGAYATTCCAAACCTGAATGTGTCACAAAGGCGCGCTTCTGCGCCATCTAATGTACCTCAGACAAGCGAGACAGGAATCCCGAAGAAAGATCATGTTTCAAAAAGCAAAAGCAATGGTTTTSATGATATACCTTCCAAAAACCTAGACATCCCTTGGTCAGATACATCGAAAAGACGGGCGTCTGCCCCGTTAAGCTTTCCTCAGCCAGGAAGCCCAAAGGCACGAGATGTTTTCATCAAACCTGCRTCTRCCAGCTTTGGAAGGCTGCCTTTATCYGCATCTTTACCYAAAGAACTATACACATCAASCAAACGTAAACTTTCTAAAACACTCGATAAAAGTCACATACTCTCWGTCAATGACATGCGCATGTCARCTAGATCTCCAGTCGTTAACCTTCACCGTAAAYCTGCTGATGGGAATTCTCGGGGATTGCGRAAACTCTCCGACACTTCTCGTTTAGTTCGCGATATTTCTCCTAACCRACATGGCAATGAYAGCCGTCCTAGAAGCCTGAGTGTAGCCCATGTCGCCAATGCCCWGGGTGTTAGGGAGGCTCCAAGAAAGCTTTCTGGTGGMGGCCCTAAGCGTCAATTATTCAGAGTGAGAAGTAGGTCGTTACCAGACCTCCTTTCCCCAAATAACTCCAAGGGTTCCAAGCAGAGTGCATYTTCGCCAGTATCAAAAGAGTGCGTTGAATCACAAGACATTAGTGAAAGCTCCTTAGCTCGTAGTTTTGAGCAGTTGAAGCATTGTCGATATCTTCGATCTGCTCTTTCAGATCATGACGTCACAACATGACAATTARCTATGAAAGATTAAMGGGAAACGACAAAATTGGTGTAAACTCATRCTTATAGATTCAGCGCTCTGGTATTTTTTAGCATTGAATATTAATTGGACATTTATATGKGTTCGCTTCTGCGTTTTGTATCTTTCATCCTGTTTTACTTTAAAGAAGTATTTGTCTTTTTTATCGGAGTTTTCTCGCTTTTTCTCTTCGCAATTTAAGCAATTTATATACTGTATATAATACTGTTATAAAATTTTTGATATATAACGCGCGCTCTGATTGGCTGACGACCGTGTTTATATCAGAGTACAGAGACACGACTTACCGGTAAAATTTTCTTTTCGCTCGAAAAATTTTATAAAAGAAATATAAAACGGCCGCTTGTGTCTCTGTCCTCTGATATAAACACAGTGGGAGTTGAAAGACACTCGAGAAGTAAGAGAAACACTCGCTACGTTCTTGTTCCTAAGCTTGCTTCTCTCGTATTTTTCGAACTCATCCCACCGTGTTTATATCAGAGGACAGAGACACGCGCGCCGTTTTATATTTCTTAACTAACAGCATTTGAGTGAAAATTATTGTATATAGATTATATATATACAGCCATATTCAGAAATTATGATTATTTTTTGCTCACATTTCTAGTACATATGAAATATATCAGAAATAAATTAGGAACATCATTGCAAATATTTTTTCAGAAAGTACTCGTGCTAGTCAACTTTAAAAAAAATATTGACGATAATGTCCCATAATTTCTGATATATTTTATATATACATCACAATTTCTGTATATTGCAGTAACCTTGTGATATAAGTCATTAACAAAGGTACAACAGGCGTCATTATAAAATAAACTGTTACAGGCCATAACATTTTCATTGTTTATTTTTCCTCGCAGAGCATATTACGGGAAAGCTCATTATAAATAGGCCTTTTATACAAAAGGAGCTTATTTACTCGACTTCGTGTTACTGATAAAAGGTTATTTGTACAGTCCAGTCTTTTATGTACAGAAGAGTTGAATTCTAAGGTCATTACATTAACATATCATATTGGCTGTCATAAGCATTACATCACCTAGCATATAACTGAGGCATTACAGCGATAATTTGCAGTATATTTCTATTTTTTACTGTTACACACAGAGATTCGCAAGAAATAATCGGTTCTGTGATGTTTTTGACCCTGCCAGAAATCTAGAATCGGATATTTGTACATCATTGGTTTTGAAAAATATGTTAATTTCGCTGAATAAAGGTTTCCAAATTGCAGTGGTCTATTAAAAAGAAGATTTCTTTGCTTTTTTATTTCTATTTATTTTTTTATAAAATTATATGCAATAAAAAATATGACTAAATTACGAACTATTTATTTTTGTATAAGAAATAGAATAAATAATAATATTAATAATATTAATATTATATAAGAATATATAATAATATTACTGGAACAACTGAATTTCATTGCTACAGTTTCAAACCCTTGCAATTAATTTTGCACTATTTTTAAATTTCTTTTTAACGTATTTGCAGCCATTACCGCGGCGACAGCACCTTTGAATTTCTGCTTGGCTCCAAGCTKTGGCCGGCAGCTTTTTTCAGCTGCAATTGATATTATATTTTTCTTTTTATTAAGTTCTTCCGTTGCTTTTTCAATAGCTTGCTGTCTCCGGAAACTTTTAATGAGTTTTTGAGTTGCTATTACGGTTTCGCTTACTGCTAGAAATTTTACTGTGGTAGAGCTACTATTCCTTTGGAAAGTACAAAATGACGACGAAGGTCTCATGGGCTCACGTGTCTTGGAAAAGTGCACTTCTTTCGATAGAGTGAAGCCCAAAGACTTTTTAYATATTCCCGTGTTATCGATATCTTTATAATCTTGAACTGTCTTGCTTTTKAAAGACKTGCATTGTATCGCTGAAGGTGAGTTTGATGTCAAACAAGAGATCCTTCTCRTGCGAGCACTTGTCTTTCTGCTTGGTCTAGTTTGGRGTGATGTTAATTCCTCTTGAACCGAACTGTTAGTGCCTTGTTCATCTTTTTTAGAATACTGAACGACTGCACTTTTAATTCTTTTGTCTTTTGAGGGTTTTTGGTATGTTGTACATTGTTGTACAAAAGAACCTTGAGTTGTTCTTGGTTCATCTCCAGACTTYCTTGGGCTAGAGCGTGAAACTGCAGCGCTTTTGCTTCTTGGCATTCGAGCTGTTTTCTTTTTATCTAATAAAGAACCCGTATTGTCAATTACTTTTTCATTTTCAATCGACTTCTCCTTGACTATGGATTCGTTATCTGTCAACCACCCACATGGTTTTGTTATCCTTTGACGAGTAATGTGTATATTGTTTATATCAAGATTATGGTAGCTGTCGCTTGCAGAATGTGTAGAGGATGAAGACGAATAAAGATTTGGAACGGACAAAGACCTTAGTCTAATCGATCTCCTCTCACGAAATCCTTTATTTGAGGTTGAAATCTTTACTGTAGAACCAGCTTCTTTGAYGSTGTTATCTTCGCAAACATGACCTCCTCTCTTAGAGTGTTCCGCAATATTTGATTTAATCTGTAAGGGGGCACTATAATTAAAAGTCTCTATCTCGGATGTCTTTCTTAAAATGTTCCGTCCGCGACTCATCCTCAAGTCTCTTATAGTTTCCCGGATGGCGTATCGTTCATTAAAAAATTCTCTCATTACTTTTTCGTGCTCTCTCTCGAACCTACCAACCTCTTTTTGAAGGATMTTTTCTTCAMATGCATTCAGACGCCTCGCGACYTCGCTCCCTTTCGAAGAGCCAACTCTCAGCGTAAGCATTGTCGTTCGAGTGATGTCTAAGACGATCTGGCATGCTATCAAAGTAGYATCAGGGGTGGTATACATGTAATCAAAATAGTGGTGTATATGAAGAGACAGTGTTTACACAGAGGACAATGCATTAAATCTGTTTGTCATTTTATTGCGATTATATTAATCTTAAGCCATCCAAAATGTCAACATAGAGAAACGAACATACGCTGCTCATATCGATTTAACTCAAAATGAAGTTTCTTAGTAATTTAAAATTCCAATCGTCGACCCAAATAAAATCCAACGGGGCAAATATTATATTCACACAGTTCTTGCTATAYAGACAACTCAATATATYGGACAGCAAGTTATTCCGGTCACTKAAATTTCCCTGCTACAGAGAAAGCACTGAAAATAACAMCCTTTATTGYKGGCACTATCTACTTTGTTCAGTTGATAACTTGATTCTAGATGCTTCCGYAACARCGAGAGTTGAATTKGGCAAAGTCYTAGCTATCMCCTAGCCGATTCTGGTAGTTGATATACAAGTTTTGATATCTATTTTGAAAGGAAAGAATGCAAGAAAAGATAGTAAGTCTTTGGCAGTCGACCACGAGATTGACTTYCAATCAAGTATGATGGGCATGAYACCACGAACGCTTTTAACCGGGCGGACATCGSGGCTTTTCATCTCAAGTTAGACAAATAAATGCTGAGGGGGATTCGTAMCTCCTTAGCAGATTTAAGACGTCTTTTGATGTGTTCTAGCTACCYTACTTTATTTAAAAATACTAAATACCGATAAACCTTTATTAAGCGAAAAACCTCTAAATAGCGGTCGCCARGAAGGGGGCACAGAGGGGCCAGTCAGAGCGAAAGCACTTTTATACCAAAGAACTCTAAGACTATTAAATGAGAATTGAAAATTCAACAATCAAAACTTATATTTTGCCTGTCTATTTATATTATAATGGTGGGAACTAGCGGTAAACTAGTGTGAGCTGCGTCGGTGTTTTTAAAGAAACAGTTGTGTAAAGAAGATAAGTTTAACACCGTAAAAAGGTATGGGAAATAACTTGACGTTTTGGATGTTAATCCTTCGTCGGAGTAAAGTATTTATATTATAAGTATTACATATGTACGTGGATGTAAGGAAAAATAAATTACTCATAGTTTCAACCCTACAGACGTTTCACGAATATTTAGAATGTAAAAAAAAAAACGCTGTATTTTTTATTCAAAGATGTTTTAATAAAGTTATTATTATTATATTATTAGAAGTGTTCTTCCATAGGTGAACGTAGGCAAGGGCCTCTTTTTTGTTTTGCTTGGTCCTGGTTTTAATCATATTCATAATATGATTGAATAAAATTGTGCAATTTGATTGGCTTAGAGGAGTGGTATATCGCTTCGCTCGTGAAATTTTGTTCGACGATTTTGAAATATCACGCGTGGAATTTATCGCAAATACCACTACAAAACATGCAATTACCTATACAAATACCCGGATTTAAAAGCTTCCTTATTATTCTAAAAATGACCTTGAGAACATACTTATTTGAAGTACATCACGATTTAGTTGATTTCAATAACAAAAAGGTAAAATTTCCGACCTTTAACTTACAACTAATTGTCTTGTCTTGGGTAAACACCCTAGCTGATGATACCCTAACATTCCTCAACGCGGAAGCTCTGTGCATATGTTTCTTAATTTCGAGATTCCAGACGAAAATAAGATTCTATTTCCTCTTATTATTTCGAATAATAGTTTAAACTTTGTCTTAAAGTTTTGAAACTTTTMAACTGAAGTCCATTTAAGGTGATACGTAATTAAGACGTGTAAGAGCCTCTGTTGATTTAAGTCAATACTTAGCTCCGTCTAGATTRCTATCTAATATAATCATTCATTACGTTCTACTCTTTTATAAAGTGGATCGATCTCGATAGTCTCCCTGCGATTCTTAAGAAAATGCAGTAGTTATTGCCAAAGAGAATATAACTTTTGATCACAACCACTTGATCAAGCTACAAATTCTCATCACAGTTTTGGCCTGAAAAACTGAAACTTYAGTTCAGAGAATGTATGTTACTATAGTAAAGTGTAAGCATCKTAGGGTTAGGAGACGGTCACTTTTAAAGGGCGTTACTRCGAGGTGCTGTTTTAGTTGCTTCAAGYCGTCGCGACGAGTGTACCAAGCGAACATGAAGTTTTTTCTGGTTTTATTTGCGTCCTTTCTTGCTTTATCTGGCGTTAAAGGTAAACTTGAAAATCCAACGCATTATCAAATGYAATCTTATACAATTTTACATCGTTTTCCTTAAATTTTCTACGTCAAAAGCCTTTGTAAACAATTAAACCAGTCTCCTTTTTCTTCTAGACATCTGACTGTTAGCTTGAACTGGGATTGTTAAGCTACGATAATTTTATATACCATATATTTGTTTATGCATATTTTTTATACCAGTCTCCTTTYCTTCTACAATAGACATTTAAGTAACAATGCGCTTAAGAACTAGGGAACTCTCTATTGTTCTGCGGTATTGCAATTTTCCCACGTACGAATGTCTTGGTTTTCACACTGATTATATATTAACCTATGGGTAACATATTTTTGAAATAAAATGTGGATAAACTCTATCTTGAAACAAAGTTTCTTTTGTATTAAAATTTCTTATCCAATCATAAGCACTCAAAACAATAGCCAAAAGATGCTTCTAATTCGCTATGTTCCCCACGTAGAATTGCCTTAATATTAAAGCTAAAGAAAGCTTTCATGAAAGTGAAAACAGACATCAAATAAGATATTAGAAATAATTTATTAGAAACTTGTAAAATTATAGCAGATTTTCATGTTTTAACCAATGAGATGGATGGCTTATACAATGCACAATTAGCACCTTCTTGGATTCCTTTGCCGTTTGCTTCCCTAGTTTTTACTCGGGGCATTATTTAATTGTTAGCTTGAACTGGGATTATAAACCTACGATAATTTTATAGGAGATACCGAGCTCTTCCTACSGTGCAGATATACGCTATATTGTTAATGCACAGAGTTTTAAAGATGCCAAGTTTTAACGATATTCTGCACGTGTAAGAAATTCGGTTTTTATGTTTTTGATTATATGGCTTGCCGAGTACCAGAATTTGACGATCAAAGGAAAAAAATAACTTTTAAAAAACTGTTAACAAACAACGTCGCCACCGCCCTAGGTAAATAAATCATCCGAATAGCTGGGATACTTTGATTGGACGTCAAAAAGTCTTCAATGTAYATTCATTGCTCATTCAACAGTCATTGCTCTTCATTGTTATTCTGTTTCGACGCAGAATTTGTAAGAAACACCATATCAGGTCTTTTTATAACAGTTCAATGCAATGGCATTTTGGGGCACAATTTGGTTTGGCAGTATTTGTATTACATTACTTCTGCGAAATTTCCTAATTTCCTAGAGAAACCGCTGTTATAGTAGAAAACAGATTTGAGGCTAAGCCTGTATTTTTTATGAATTCGCCATTTACACAATAGTTTTGTGACAGGAAAAAATAACAGGGCGTAAGTCCAAATTGGCAATTTCTCCTATATAAAGTAAAAACAGCAAATGTATATTACAAAGAATAAGTAATAATAGAAATAATTTATGTTGAAAGTTCAATGTAGAATGATCAGGGTGGCCAGTAGAATTTTAACTTATGTTCCCAGAATACCTAGAATTTAAGCCTTCTTCGAATACAGGCTTATCCTGCARGCTTATTTGTGGAGYTATTGCAATGACAGCATTATTTCGTTYTTTCTTTTGTTTTCGGGAAGTTCTTTGTACTTGAGAGGCTGTTGTAAACTAAAAGAAMAATCRCTTGATATGAACGGTAAAAAAGGCGCATTCATTACAWTGTTAATTGTTGATTAGTTTTTGATCGTTTCCAGTCTTTAAATATGCATTGACTATCTGCAAAAAGTATATTACTAATGACTCTGTTATTCTATACAGGAATGCAGGATGGAACGATTCGTATTGGGAAGATCAACCCTRACAATGATTACTACTGTGAAACTGTCACTTTTCCAACAGCCTTCACGGGCGTTGATCCTGTCAAAGTCTTTACGTCAATTGGTTTTGGCACGAACTCATCACGTGTACATGACGTAGTGTTCACGTGGGTTGAGTCTGTCACTACAAGTAGCTTCAAAGTCTGTCTGGTAGAGAATGGGGTTGGATCGGATGGAGATGTGACTATTAATTGGATGGCTTACCAAAGCATACAGTCTGGTGTGACGGACGGATCCGTCAGGTTAAACGACTGGACGACCGGAACGGAGTGCAAACAAGTTATTTTCTCTCACGTAAGCAATTAAGATTTTGGAAATTTGTTTCTCGTATAACTATATATTTTCAGTTGCTTTCTTTTTGTTATTCTTGATATCTGTAAGGCTTATTTCTATCTAACTTTCTTGTGTCTTAACATTCTTTTAACTTTTGCACTTTTCATTACTAATAATTCCTATATCTTGTTTTCGGTTTCTATATCATCAGTTCTTACATGTTTTTTTGTTGCTGTTTTTTATTCCCTTTCCCTTTCTAATGAATTTTTCTCTTTTCGCTTGGGTTTTCATTGAATTCTGGTATTTTGTTATTTCAAGAATTTTCCAAGTGTTCCACATATCTTTGTTTCTGCCCATCACAATGTGCTGGACAAAAAGCAAGATGCAGCCACAGTTTGGGTGGAAGGTATCACCAGAAACGATTTTACTGTCTGCATGAGAGAAGCAAGAACCTTTGATGGACGCCATAAGGACATCGATGTGGTACGGTATTGTGGACATGGCTCATTCCACAGTTAACAACATACTTTAAAGATAATAATGTTTAGAATCTTTCAATCAATATTTGTTTAACCATATAAATTTGATGTTATTATATATCCTACAATTTTTATTATSTGTTGCAGACTTGGATGGCAATGACTGAGGTTCCCCAGACGTGGAATTATCATGACTTTATCAGAGTAGACTTTCCAAACACTCTTGTACCAAGCGAGGCTGACAATGATGCATTTTGCCAGGTATTCCAGAGACAAGTTCGAACCTACCAGACTATGCAAAATCAATTTATCCATGGGCAATCTTTTATTTCGTCCCTATRTKTCTTTGCACAWTTCACAATTAATATTTTTATTTTCAGGTCGTGAGCTTCAACCAGCCGTACTTTGATGCACCTACAATCGTTGTTGCACCAAGTCATGAGTATGACAGCAGCGATATCAATGCCATTCATCCTGAGCACAACTCCATTGCTGCCTGGGTTGAGGTAAGTTAGTAGACTAGCAGCGCCAGATCAARTGAAMCAAAGACGCAAAGTTGTCGTTGTTCCTTGCCTTAACTTTAACTTAATACATGTAGGAAACTACTCGAACAAACTTCAAGACATGTGTTAAAGATCTTGTCGGATTGGACAACAAACATCATCCAATTGAAGTTGACTATATTGTGTTTGGAGGTAACGTTGTTTAACTTACTATAATAATCAATCCCTGATTTTTAAACGTTTCAATATTTTGATAAAACTCTTTGGTTTTCTTCTATTGATATGCGTTTATTGATAGATCTTGATCCATGTATTAACAAGACCTGTGATTTTTTTGGTGTTTGCCAAGCCACGTCAGCAAATGCTGGCCAGTGTGAGTGCATTACACAATGTCCATCATACCAAGATCTCGTGTGTGCTTCTAATGGTAGAACGTTTGATAACATGTGTGCTTTGAAAAGAGAGATCTGCCAAACTCGGGGAAATTATTCGTATTACCATCCTGGTGGTTGTCAAGGTAAAAAGTAGTGGAACTTGTGATACATGTGTTTGAATTTGGAATTCTGATCAAAGCTTTATTGTCTAGAGCACTTGCTCAGTGTCTCAAACTCTCGCTCAGGATCTATTTTTTTTTCTTTTTAGGCTTTCCATTTGACAAAGGAACACATCATCTCAGCCATGTTTCAGCCGAGTCCTATTGTGAAGTTGTTTCTCTCCAGCCCTACGCATTCTATCCCCACAAACCCATCCATGTCCAATTAACTGTCAACTACATCAATGCGTCACTTCCAACAAATGTGCATGACGCAACAGTCACGTGGTCAGAAAAGGTTAATCCAAACAACTTCACTGTGTGTATGACCAAAACCGGAAGAAATGATCAGCCTACCAATGACGTGGCATCAGTTGATTGGATAGCTTATCAGGGTTCACCAAACGGAGCATTGACTGGGAAGGAGCGCATTACACAATGGTGGACTGGTACCAAGTGCACCACGCTAGCATTCCCAAGTGTAAGTATGCCAAAGGGATCTCTTCGCTGACAGACATACTACTTAGTTGAATTGAGCATCTTTAAGGATTGAGTAAAAACACAATTTAGTTGGTCAAATTTAGTCCAGACTAAGTTAAAGATCGATATAACCTGAGTCGAAAAAGTATTTCTATTTAACTTTTATMATATTCATTTTCTTAATGTTTTCTTATTCTCCATTAGATTAAGGATCATTGTATTAATTTCAGGGTAAATTCACGGGTACTCCCACGGTACTAGTCACTCTCGAGCACCAGAGAGATGGACTCAAACACGATGCTGCCAGTGTCTGGGTYGARGACATCAGCTCTTCCTCATTTCAAGTTTGTATCAGAGAGCTGCAGAACTTTGACGGAATTCATAAAGAGATTGACTTGGTAAGCAATTAAATCAGTTATATATTTCTTGGAATGAATCTTACGATATCATTTATWTTGCATAAATGTAGGATTGGATGGCGTTTGAAACGCTTCATCTTCCACTGTTTTCTGAGCATGGCAGTGTTCACTTTGCCAATACACAAACCCCTCTAGAATCTAACAACTATGCTTTCTGTGAGGTAAGGTGCTAATTAACTAACTTACTTTAATTTGTTTTTTTCACCATCAGGCTTTCTCTACTTTTTTTAATATCAAAAGAATAAAACTTTCCATTTCTGACACTTAGAACAACAAGAATACCATGTCACAAAATACATATTTTTAATACATGATTTTAGGTAGTGAACTTGGCAAAAACCTATACAAGACGACCTTCAGTGTTGATAACAGCTACCCATGACACAAGCGTTGGCCTTAGTAACCCTACTTGCAACGGGATATCTGCATGGATCGAGGTGATTTTGCACCTTTTCTGCGCATGCGCAATTGTAAAATATATCATCTTTTTTTTATTTTTACTTGCAGAATATTACCTTGGTAACATTCCGTGTTTGTCTTAAAGAGCTGTACTCGGACCGTTATGATCCTGTCACCCTGCAGTACGCGGTTGTATCAGGTATTTAAGTTTGCTCATTCAAAGATTGTTATGGAAATGTTTAGATAGTTGAGCGCATATGAAATCTTATGCCATCTGCAACAAGTATTTAAAACATGTTGAAAAACGTTCCATTCATGGAAAAGATTAAGATGTATTCCTATCAACAGGGATTACTGTATCATTATAACTTTCCAACTTTTTAGACATGTGTGGAAAAAACTGGAACTACTTTAATGGCTTCTGCTATAAGACCACCCCTTCCTGTGCCTCTTGGAATGCAGCTCAGTCCAACTGTATTGATGTTAACTCCAATCTGGCCAGTGTAACCAGCCAAGAAGAAAACACATACATTCAACATCGYCACRGYGGYGATACAGGATGGATAGGACTACAAGACATTGACAGTGAAGGAAACTTTACCTGGATTGACRGWACCAATGTAACCTTTACGTACTGGGCGGCAAATCAGCCAAACGGTCACCCTGGAGACCAGGATTGTGTACATACTCTTGGATTACGTCATGACTATCACTGGAATGACGTCACATGTGGATCTTGYCACGCCTACACGTGCAAACGAGGTACCACGTCCTCATAATTGATAAATYTCGAGTCTCTTTACGCTGATTTAAATTGGAGCTTAAAGCTAACTTTTAAAAGTAAAGAAAATGTAAAATTGGCTTAAAGGAGCATAGAGAAAAAGTTTAAGTTATGTAGCTCTAGTTTGTTTTTGTTTTTGCTGTTAAGTTACAATATAATATTTGTTCTGTTTCAGATATTGATGAATGTTCCAGTGATTATCACGTTTGCGGTTTAAATGCACAGTGTACCAATTMTGATGGTTCGTACACGTGTGTTTGTAACTCTGGCTATACTGGTGATGGAACCTCGTGCCTAGGTATTGTATAGAGGATATTACATAGTCGCGTGGTACCACGAAGGTGTTGTTTTCACTAGCGCTAGACATCAAGATTTGTTGTGTTTTTTTTTTCAATGTAGTGTTTCAAAATATAGTACGTTATAAAGTGTAGTCCACAAGTTTATATATAGCATGTCATGTAAAGAATATTTGCATMCTTGTCTGATAATATTTCAGAACTCGATGAATGTTCATCCGGCGTCCATACTTGTGATTCCAATGCGCAGTGTACAAACACTGTAGGATCCTACACCTGTAGCTGTCTTCTTGGTTTTAATGGTGATGGAAGAACTTGTTCAGGTATTTCTCCAGCTAGATTCAGGTGGAGCCGACAAGTTCTGTTTTTCTAAATAACTGCTTAAGATTTTTTTRTCCTSGGCTGGTGAATTGATTTAGAACTAGACTTTAAAATTCGGAAAAATTGTCCCTTACGGCCGTTAAAGCACGGGATATTGGGGATTTCCCTTCCTGCAAAGGTCGTGAAGAGTTTCCTTGKGAAAATTCCTTTCCGTGATTTAAAAACTATATATTTTTGAATGTATTATAACTTTGCTGGCAACCAGTTGTGACTTGTAGCTGACTGGGACAACAGATTTCTCCCAGGATCCCATCGGCTCCTCTTGTAGATTATAAGATTTTTTGATAAAATCAATGATAAATCAAAGTGATATTGCACAATGATAAATCAATTCCTTTCATTATCTCTAGATATTGACGAATGTTCGTCTGGTTCCCACAGCTGCAATGGCCACGCACAATGTACTAATGCAGTTGGGACCTACAATTGTCAATGTAATCCGGGATTTCATGGTGACGGCTGGGCTTGTACAGGTACATATATAATAGTGCGCGCAGTTCTGCTGGTCTTCAATCAAAGTCAAAAYGTTCATGAATTTACTAGTAATACCAATGGTCTTAAGTTGCAATACTTTATTGCCCAAAGTGCTGTCGTRCCAAGACTTTTCATATTTTAGTTGTACATTTTTTTGCAATAGTATTGTTTGCATTTCACTGCATGTATCGTGACAAAAATTTGAAAAGCCTTGCTCTTTTCAAATTGTTTCTATTTACATGTTTTTGATTAGTATCTTGGTATTGTATTGTCTGTCCTCTCTAACATGAGCCCGGTCGCTCGGAAGACCATGAGAATGCTCCCCGAGCTTAAATCGAAATTTGATTTCATTGTATTTTATTGCATTGTATTGTAACAACGTGAAATATGGAAAGATAAATCGAATGAATCCCACAATTTCCTAAAAAAAAAACAGTTGGCGATATGCAGTGATTTCTTGTTTCTTTGKTTAGATGTCGACGAGTGCACAACAGGCTCCCATTCTTGTGATGCTAATGCACAATGCTCTAATAACCTTGGATCTCATGCTTGCCAGTGTAACCATGGCTTCAATGGTAACGGATATAYATGCTCAGGTAATTCATACTAAATATGTTGAGAGATTCCTGAATCAAAGTCAATAACTAGGTAGTACTTTTCAAACTGTGTACATATTGCATGAAATATATCTTTAGCAAATACTAGGACCCTTAAACACCAGAGCGTGAGTTGAGAAGGCCTGCATCGCAGCATACCACTGGAAAAAATCGCGCGCTTTAAAGGTTGTAAATTTGATGTAAATACGATGTAAGTGTCCAAAAGTCTGTAAATTTGATGTAAATCAGTTCCATTAAATTTACAGAATTTTGGACACTTACATCATATTTACATCAAATYTACAACCTTTAAAGCGCGCGATGTTTTCCAGTGACTATGCAAAAACAATATATTTCGCAACTCTAAAGTTTTCGTTTGTGACAGCTCRTTTGTCTTTTAGATGTGGATGAATGTTCTTCTGGCGCTCATACTTGCAATGTATATGCACAATGTACAAATACAGTTGGGTCATACAGTTGCCAATGTAATCCAGGCTACCAAGGCAATGGACATCACTGCTCAGGTAAGGAATAGGCCGGCTGTGTGCAGCTGAAGGTGTCGTGACCCCACCTACCTTAATTCAATCAGTTATGGCAAAATAATGTCCACAAATAGAAAATGAGACCAAAAAACATACTGTTTCCCGAGGTTTCCAGTAAATCAAGTGCTTTATTATCATATCAAGTGTCAAAGAGAGCAAAATAAGTAAATAAATGAAGTGTTTTTATTAAATTAAAGATTTTGATAAAATGACTGAAAAATGGCAATACAAATTGTCAAATGTTACTAAAATCAGTCGATGTGATAACAAAATAAATAATATAACTGTAACTTAGCTATTTGTAGTCGAAATTAAAAGTTTGACACTTGATATATAATAAAGATTTTCATTTACATTTGATGCCATTTTTCAAGTATTCAGCGCTAAGATTTGAAACGTCGCCATTTTCCCTATAGAGCGGATTTCGTATGACTGTGCAAAAGCACGGATCACAACACGGACATGGCACGGCACGGTCACGGAACCTCACCTTCTAGGATTTCAAATGAAAGTAAAGATTTTCCAATGCTTCACGGCTACGTCACGGTACGGACACAGCACGAACGTACCGTGTTTTTTTGCACAGGCATACGAAATCCGCTCTATCAACCGTTTCACGACATAATATTGTACTAGCTGGTTGATATAAAGTAAGTGTGGTCACGGGAATCCTAGTCAACGAGGCATATTATTCTTTTACAAAACTCTAGCTTTTAACTTCCAAGCTACTTGTAGTAAACGTCATGCTTAATTTTTCCCTAGACATCGATGAGTGCTCGACGGGATCTCATTCTTGCYATTCCAATGCACATTGCATTAACAATATGGGATCGTATACCTGCCAATGTGATCCTGGATATCAGTGGGATGGAAGCACATGCACAGGT